ACCATGGTCTTAATGTATTAAAATTTTTCTCTTTTTTTTCATACTCTTGTTCCTTTACAGCCATCTGCTTCACCTTTCATCTTCCCTTTAAATCTTCTACCCCCAACTAGTTTGTTTTTATTTCCACGACCATTCAGATTACATTTCATCTCTGTTACAACATTTTATTTTATCATGCTGAGCCATCCTTTCCCAATGATAATTTCCCTATCTATCTTTTGATGAACTTCATCAGTCATGACTACTTACAAGAGTTTAGGGAATTAACTTCGAAGCTGTTCACTAGACAACCAATAAATTTCACTGTAATTAACCTATCTATTCATAATAATAGTTACTGACTATATTAATACTGACGAAAAACCATTTATTTATTAAAATATTGTATTTAATAGTAGTAGAAGTGGTAGAATTATTAAATTTCATGAAGTTTCCACTTATGTTTTAAGAAACAACAACTTTAGATTTAAGTGAGCGAAGGCGATCCCCTAATGCTGGTTAGGCAAAAAAAAAGTTCACTTGATTGTCATATTACAACTTGAATTACCCGTAAATATAACCAGATTTATGATCACTCTGAAATTACTGATTTGGGTTTAATTTATCTTTTTTAAAACATTAAAACTCGGATATCACATCTGAGTGATTAGATCTTTGATTGTTTTTGGTTATCAGTGATCAGGTCAAATAATCATAAATTGTAAGTACACAATGAACTGCAAGATGAAGTGACTATTTAATGTTTTTCACGTGTCGTATAATGGAGTTTAAAATTATAAAAAATGGATCAATTGATATAAGAATAAATGTTTCCTTTAAATTTTAAGAACTAAAATTTGCCATTTATCTCCTTAGTCTATTACTTTATTGTTATAATAACCAAGATCATGCATTGTTTTCATTTATGATTAATTATTCGCTTATACGTGGTCCCAACATTTCCTTGTACTTCATTTACCAAATACAAGTTTATGTACTCGAATTTGGGAAATTAATTAGTACAGCAAAGTGGATTCATTTTATTCTGCGAATTCTGTTTTAACACTAATCGACTGAATATGCTTTTCACAAAGAAACTACCATTATATCTCATCTACAGAAGTATTAATAAAAATAACTTCGCATATTTATTATTTATTTAATTGAACACATAAACACTGATACAAAGGGGCACCAGTTACATATGCGCCATACAAATCTCATTTGATATGTGTGAGGGCTGTGGTACTGCTCGGGTGCTCAAACCGAAGCAGGTGGTTTTCTTAGGGGGCCATACCCGGAGCCTTCGACCTAAAGGTCTGATCCACAAGGCAGTAGAGCATCGTAAGGAGATGCAGTCCCATGGTAGACGGTGACCAATAATTGGTTCATACGCCATTTGTTCCTTCAGGATACTGGAGCCCATGTGCACCATTGGTTTGGAATCAGGGTTTTCCAACTCCCCTACGTAGACTCTCTATGTCCACCAACCCGGTCAAAGCACCGGACATTGGCTTTTCGTCCTCTCAACTTCGTAAACAACATCCCCGCTACGAGAAGGCAATGAGTAGGACCGCCCTGGCAGAGGCTATATACACGTAGACGTGTGGGAGCATTTCGAAAGGAAGAGCGGACTCTCCCCACTCTCGGCCATACCATGGCATTTGGGGGCATATTCTGAAATAGTTTCATTAAAATCAGCGTCCACTTTTTTGCGTAGTTCTTTCTTAATTGTTGATTAGTTTCCTTTCAGTTTATTGTCACATTAGCCGAGAATTAACTCAATTGTTATCAGATTACCATGGATGTATTCTCTTTGAAGCAACACCTTCAGCAAAAAAGTCTAAATTGCTTGTCTTCTGAACCGACCAAAGAGTACAATAGATGAGAATTTAGCTTTTTTCACTAAAAATAGTAGGTCTATTACAAGGTTTTATACAAATATGCACTTTAAAACATCATGGTAATTAATAAGTCATAATTACTCATCAAATGCATGAAGAAAATGGTCGGAGGGTAAAACGACAAAATTTAAGGTATCAGACAAAAGATCTATTTACATTAGATTTATGCATTAAAACACACACCGGAAAACATCTTTGCAATTCAAATCTGTACTTTGACTAGGTATTGTGAGCAATGATGTAAAGAACAGATGAACAACGCCCACACAACCAAAAATAGTAGCATATTTCATATAACTGATGAAAGTTTAACTGGGATTTGTCTCATAAATTTACATAACATTATGAGAAAAGATTTGTTGGACTTCGTATTAAAACACGTGTCTTAAAATATTATCGCCGTTGAAAGAACAAACACATACACCGGATAGAATAGCAAACAAACTTTAAATTAATTATATGAGGCCGGTCTTTTAGAAAGATGACTAAACGAATAATAGAAAAGCCAAGAGTGCATAACTACTTAATGATTGCAAAATGAACTTTTTAAATATATCAATTACGATAACATATTGACAAGTCTTATAAAAACAGGAAAACCTAATTCTTAAAAGGCGAAATTCCGAAATCAAACAAAATACGTGTGGGGGTCGTAGTGAGAGCAAAGATCCTGGGTTAGATCCAAGGTGGAATCTTCAAAATGGATCCCAAAAAACATTGTAAATTCAACTTCTATTGCTTTTTTAGTTGCATAAAACACTGCTTACCATCATTTAGGGTAACGACTGTGGAGTGCATAAAAGAATCAAGAAATGAAAACAAATATGAAAAGCCGAATTAAAAATTTTCATTCCATTATTTTTCAAGCTGACTTGTAACAAATTGTTACAAACAACTATGGACTCGACTTTTTGAATCCATAACTCCATGCATACCTTAAAGACCTTCTATAAATATCTATACCCATGCCATATCCAAATGATATCCCAGTTTCGTGTTTTGCCGTCTTATGCTCTAACCAGTTTCAATTTGGGAACGATAGGACAACAGTTACCAAAATTATGAAAAACTTCATTCCGTATGTTTGTTTTATGGATACCTCCGAAATTTGAATCATTCACAAAACATTGAGTCAGTCAGTCAGCTACAACGTAGGACCAGACACATATATTTTCATCGGTCCAAATTACCATACCTCATTAACACTACAAGATGAACACCAAATTCATAGTAGTTAATTCAGTGGTGGTAATATATAAAAGAAAGATTTTATATAAGGACATAATACATGGAGAAAGAATCAGTTTGTAGAAAGAAAGATATAAAACGATTTTAATCTCATAGTTTAAAGGAAGAAAAAGTGTATACACCTACACCATTGTGATCGATTCTGAGCCATGTCACCCAGCGTCTCCAACCATTGATTGTGATAGTCACGCGGACCCCAACCAAGTGGTCTGCATCTACCAACATGGCTCAGACTAGAAGCTAGTGACTTCAAGCATTGATGCCACGTTTTGGTTTGGCATTGAGTATTACATTAAAAACTATCAAAACGAATTATCAGTAGACCAAATATGGAACTTGTCACATATATGTATAGCGAATCGTCAGTGAAAAATAAGGTGTATCCCTGATCCTTAAAGTGTTGTTATTTAGTACATTTCATGTGAATATAGACATTTAACTTACCTATAAACTAACAGAAAGTGTCGATCATCTTTAGAATAAGTATTATTAATCATCTTACTAGTTACTTGTGACAGGATGATATGATTAACTGAAAGTAGATCTCTATGAGCTCTTGTTTTATGAATCATGCGAGGTTCAATTCAATAACAATTAAATTTTTTATACCCAGTTTAATTTCAGTGAGATGAATAATGTCAAATGATTTTATAAATTCGTGCTTTCCATATGAGGGCATTTCACTAAGTATATTGATCTTTCGAAAAAACCAAATGAAATGATTATATGAGATATCATTCTATATATAGTAAATGTAAAATTACATCCATTGAATTGTTTCGTGTATCTTTTTAATGTGACAAAATCAATGGATAAAAAATTCACTGAATATATCACGACCAAACGGTTAAAATGTGTAATTTTTTCCACATACCTTATGAAATATTGTTGACCCCGTCTTGGTTTTTCAGACAAATCAAAGTCTATCTATTTGAGTACAGTTTTATATTTTACATAACACTTCATATCTTATGATAAAATGTAACACAGCAGTGTCATTTACAACAACCGTTAATGAAGTGCATTCTGAGTGTTAATAACATTTACTAACTTGTATGTATCATTGTAAGGTAAGCGACCCAGTAAAGTATACCCAGAGTGTAACTACTGAGCTACCGTTTCACATTATATGTATAAATATGTTTACTCATTTTATTGGTTTTCTTTGACAGGTTTCCACATTTTACTTTCGTGTGATCAAGTAATCGTTGAAATAAATTTGAGCACTAGTTATACGATCTACCTGGTCGATTTTAGATTTGCTTTGATATTGTTAGAATCTCCTTGGCCGCAGTAACGATTAGAACAAAAAAATTCTAAGTTTACCTAGCATTAAACTATAGTTGCCATAAAACTGTCCAACTCATTACTTAATATGACGGTAAGTGGCGACGCATCGGGCTGAATAGTTTTCATAGTACATTACCTAACGCTTATTGTTTACTGATAGGGTAGATATCTAGTATGCTTGTGCGGATCACAAAAACCATCTTTTCGAAACCTGTGGGCGTTTTCGGGATAGTTAACCGATAAATATAGTATAACTTGGATTACACTAATTAAATCTGAGCAGTTCAGAATAATGCGGAGTTAGAGCTAAAACTACTAGACCTAATCGGCTTGACTGTTGAGTTTATAGGATGTGGAAAACGATCTTTTATCAAACCGACTTCCTACGCACACAAAATTCAACTGAAAGATAAGAAAAGTCATAAAAATATAAACTATATATTATTTAAAGTGGGAAGTATTTACAGAACATAGTGAAGGATTCTCAGTCAATACTATATACATTACTGGAGTATACAAAAACAAATAGAAGAGATTTCTAAAAAAACACGAAAAGATAAGCCTGTTGGTTTAAATAGATTAGGTGAGGTATATACGATGATAATCGTTGGCACCAAATGTTGCATTGCACTTTGGACATTTACGATTTCGTGTTTCATACCGAACTTTTAGACAATTCAAACAGAACACATGGAAACATTTAGTTAGAATAGCATCCTTTCTGTTGATTTTACACGTTGGACATGTAAGTTGCTCCTAAAATTTACAAAAAAGGGTGGGTTACAATACAAGGATGAAAGTAAAGCTGAACTAAATCAAAGACGGAAAGTATTATCATTACAAATGCTGTGAAATATTAACTAACATGAAGATCTTGACAAGTCACAAGGTACATAAGTTCGCCTAACATCTGGAATATGTACAATATCAAACCAAGTGGTGAATTTCGCATTTTAAAAAAACAATATTCACAGCTCATGCTTTTAAATTTTATTACAAATTGCATTTAGAATATGAATAGAAACAACCAATCAAAAGATAAATGGTTAATATAAACAACATACTTTATAATCTTGAATTTCAGCCAATAAAAATTCATCAGCGTTATGAGACTGTTCGATCTTGCGTAACCGTTCGTATTTTCTGCGCACAGTGACAAGTTCTTCCTGAAAAAAATAATACACGCATTGTTTTCATTAATCAACCATGTTTATAATAGGATCAATGTCAGTATTATGAATAGTGGTAATTCATACTGTACAATCATCTCCACATAAAGTATCAAAAAGATAGAAATTACAAGTTCATCTTGAATAAAGACAATCAAACGGAACCAATATCTTTGTTATTGAGGAGGGATTTTTAATTTCGTTTGATAAATAAACATTTTGGGGCTTACGTGAATAAAGCAGTTTCGTGAGCGACCATCACTAGATCACGTTGTGTCTGTGTATTTCATTTATTGAGCAACATTCAATTCATTTCAACAATTACAAGCCTAGTTCATTCATAAGTCTTAATTCATAAAAGACCGAAACCAAATTATAGACCTGAGCTTCTAATAAACTAAAGCAACAAGTAACAAGATTTTTAAGTAGATTAGGGATTTTAGTCCAATAAGTAAAAATATAAATAACATAGCCTGTAGCTTATCTAAGGTTAGGGTCGGTCCTAGACCCGAATAAAAGAGAAGAGTTGGGAATGGGATCACCAAGCCCATCCCGTAGGAAAACAAGCTTGTTAAAGAAAGTCTAAGCAGAAAAGAACAATCCAAAACATTTAAACTCTTTCATGGGAGTTGAAGGATCTTCATTCAAAAGAATTATGACGCCTTATGGTGAAAACCGAAGTCTTCTGGCAATCAAAGCAACAATTAATATTAATAAACAACAGTAGAATATGAGCAGAGAAAGCTGACGCACAAGCAGAATGCACAGAAAACAACGAGTTCATGAGCCTGTGCCACTGCAAACGACTTCGAGCCATATCATCCAAAGTCTTTAACTACTGGTTACATTAATCACAAGGACCCCGATCAGGTAGTTGCTGGTAGACGGATCTTGCCTATGCCACAAGTGTTGCAAGCTGATAAAAGCTAATCGAATTTTCTGAATCCACGCCGAGATTTTATCAGAATAATGAGTGAAGCGATCTACATGCTCAGTATTATATTAACATAAGCTGACCGCCCCAACCCTACGGAAAACCTTGCTCAAACGCATTCAATCAAAAAGGTGAGTATTAGGAAACAGTAAAATACATAATATAGTAATTTGGCTATATTTGTTGATCAAAGTAGTTAATTTATTGACTTTGCAAATTATGTACTCGCATTAAATTACTGATTAATTCATGTTAACTATTGACAGTATAATACAAACACGTTTATCTATTGACTAGATATTTTTTATTGCAAATTATGATCAGTAGTGGATTAGTGTTTCGTGTATAAATAAATCTTGAACTTTTCATTCCAATTATTAATATCGGCCTTTTTCCGTTGAACAAGCAATCAGCCATTACAAATAATCATACCACCAACAGAATCAGAACTCTGACAAGTCATTACATACATATGGTACACAAACAGATTTTGCTCTGTAGTTTAGTACGAAACAACAAAAATCTAATCATATATACAACAGAAATCTGAGATAATAATATTGTGCACGTGATCGGATTCTGAACTATGGAAAAGTACAAAAATGATTATCATACTAATTACACCAGTCATAAAGATTAAAATGATTTCCAATACATAAAAACTAACTTGTAAACGCTGATGACCGAAAGAAACGCGTTCAAAAGCGGACGCTTTCTCCTGAACAGTAGTTTGAGCATCTTTTAGTTGACTTTGATACTTTTGAACAGTGACTTTTAAGTCTTCAGAGACTTGTTGACTTTCCAAAGCTTTTCGTTTATAGGCTTCCTGTGATTTTTGTCTAGCTGATGCCTCTTTCTCTAAGGTTGCTAAATTGGTTAACAATAAACGTTCCTGTAAAGAAAGCAGAACAAGGCACCGAACTAGGATAAAGCATGGATGTGTCACTGACTTAATAGTAGTCGGTTAAAAACTATATCGTTTAAAAAACTCCATCATATCGAAACGCTAAAATACGAACGAAAAGTACCATTTTTCAATAAATTCTCTTCAGATTCTACAATTATGTATCCAAATTAATCGTCCAAAAGTGGTCAGGTTTAATGCAAAGTACATTATTTAAATGTCCTTCGTTCATGCATTAATGTTTTAAAAACTACATCTTGGAAAACCCGTTTCCCACGTTTCAAGGAAATTATCAAATGTTTTTTTGAACCGCTAAAAACAATCGCCAGTGAAGAACGTGAATCAATGAAGTCATGTTTTAGTAAGCCTAAAGGTTTTTCAAAATTATTTCTACTTCAACAACATAAATCGAGTCATGGGATTGACGTTTCGTAAAAACACCGGTTTGTTTCTATACATAAATAAAGCGAGTTCAGCGATGGAAATTGACTAAGAACAAACACTATTTACAGTTCTGTAAGGAATTATGATCAGTAATAGAGGTGATATATCAGATTGATATAGTATGGTAGCCATATATATTCAACACTACGTACAACTTTAAACGCCTGTAACAGGATTCGAATGCGGTAGTGGATTCGTGACACTTACGTTATTTACGAGAAAATGTTAAAATATATCACAGGCAGAACAGACCCGTATAAAGTTGTAAAGTCGTTAGTTATCAAATTGCATTAATTGGGGTGCCTCCGTGATCCATCAAGAATACTTCGACACAGGTGTAAAAAAACAATAAGACAAAATCTCGTAATAAAAAGCACTACTATGCAAGATCATTGGTAAAGTCTGAGTTGTCTATATGAGACTAGCAAAGACAGAATCTCATTACAATTAGTATTCTAAATTTATTTCATTAAGAAAAGTTATACACAAATTTTCAGCTTACTTTTTCTTCCTGTTTTAGAACTGCACGGTTTAACGCTTCAATTTTTGCTTGCATCAGACGTATCTGTTCTTCTAAAAGCTGTTTGTCTTCCTTCAGTAAACGAGCAAGTTGAGCAGTTTTCATTCTTTCTGCCATTAACTTTAGGTGAGCATCATCTTTTTCTCGTAATGTTTTAACAAGACGAACGTTTTGTTCTTGTGCATCTTCAAATGCTTGAACAGTAATCTTTAAATAGCAGAAAAAAATAATATTGATGTAATTAAGCAAGTTCTTGTTAAAAATGTCAGTAATTTTTTTTAAATGGTCAGCTCGAAAGCGTGAACAGAACATACGGAAACCATTTATCTCAAAAAGATTAGTAATGACTTGCAAAGTTAATTAGTAATGTTTATAATAAACTGTAAATATATTCAAGGTCTTTAATAGGCCAAGTTTTTCCTAATAACATTGGTAAGCATTAATATATTGGAATATTTCTGTTAACGGACTGCTTCTAAATAAAGCAGGTGTGAAAAAAATACAAACAAAAGTAAAACTCACTTCCATTTCCTTCAATAGTACATCCTCTTGTTGCTTGGCAGCTACAAGTCGTTGTTGGTGAAGTTTTAACTGCTCCTCAACAGATTGACTTTTACGTCGAACTATATACAGTTCCATTTGCAACTCTGATATTTGCCAATCAGAAGCAGAAATTTTAGATTTTCCACAAGACGTGATCGGCAGAGATCCAGATATACTCGAGTTTTTTTCTTCAGGAGAAACCAACCCAGTCTTACATGTTTTCGAAGGAGATAGTGGAATATTTCCATGGGAAGTGAGTGAACGTTCGGCAGGTGACATTTTTAAATTGGGCTCAATAGGAGATGTTAACGTTGACTTCCGTTGTTGCTGCATCTTCGTTTGTTGTGATTGAAGATCTTTGATAGTTGCATGAAGTTTATCGATTTCATTTCTGGCATCAGCCAGTTCACCCCGCAGCTTGGCTTCGCACTGAAGAAGTGCTGCTTTATCTCTTTGATCTTTTGGGATAACTTTATACATGTTGAGTAGTACAGACATTTCTTTTTGTGATTCTTGTGAACGCCTAGAATAAGAATATTATTGTAAATTCGTACTCAATAGAAGAATTAAGAAAAACTACAGGATACTTACTTCAGTTGTTCTTTTAAATCACGAATAATCTCATTGGACGGCGAAGAACACGAGACATTACAACGAAAGTCGGGAGTAGATTCCTAAGATGTAAACAGAAAGTATATACCTGTTATTTCAAAACCTTTCATTCAGTAATAAATTGCAACAAAAGTTGTACTTCCAAATATTGTAAGCCCTATCGGTTATGTTGATAAACTCTGCTAATCCTAATGTGAAAACAAAAATGTTAATATGAGAGCAAATAAAAGAGCAACAAATATAATTGTCTACTGAATAATTTGTATCCATCGAGATACAATTTATAATGAACAGTGTTCTAGTGAAATCATAATTAACGCTGATAATTAAATCTAACTAGAAATAAAAAATAACGTTATAAAATATGAAAATCTAAAAATCAGGTAAGCAGCAGTTAGTTAATGCCATATTCAACAATCATACTGTGACGACGGACCACCGCTGAACTCGAGGAAGCTGTAAGAGGCTCATAAGGAGCCGAAGAAGTTCCATCCAATCACCTTTCGGAAGAATGTTCTAGAATTCCAACGTGTAGCTTCCCCATTGGATAATGCTAATAACCCCCTGTACGCGGATTGGAAGACTGTAATGATGATTTCGTTCTCACTAAAAACTATAAATACCTGACAATTTTGTACTATGTTTGACACTGTTTGGAATAATATTCCTTTCATTCGTCTTCTGTCTTCTTACTGCGACTTGGAAGGGTTTGGGTGTTCTACTGCTCAGTTATACGCGGTAGTATCAAGAAAAACCAACTTTTCAAGATATAACACATACAGATTGTAAACAGTATTTCCATGCTAGTTAAAAAAAACGCAACACTACCAAAAATATCTACCTGAGCTGAACATTTTCTCCATTAATATAAGTATTCAAATCGTTTAAAGAATTAGATAAATAAGTAGAAAAAGGTGTAGCTGAAGCATCTCATTTTGTGTAAAACTCGTACTACGTGCTGATATGGTATATAAACATAACCTAACGTGTAGTTGGGGTAGGCTCTAAGTTGATCACACCATAAAAACATAAACTGGATCGCAATAACACTGGAAATATAACATTTATTAACGCCGAAATAGACACAGGGACATAGAAAATGTCGATCATGGAAAGTCATTAAAATAACATGGCAGTAAAATGAATATACTTATTTGTATGCATGAAATATTTGGTCTTATTTACTCCTCCTACTATTTATACTTGCGCTGAGCCGGAAAAATAGATCACTATTTGCAGATAAACTTGAGCCAGTTCGCAAAACGTCAGAAATTCAATTTTCGTATTTGGCGAGATATAACAAAGATACTATACTGATTTAAAAATGCCTGAAACTAATCTTTCAGACATCAGTTTTAATTAATTAAACTTACAGTTTTCAAAACTTTTTCGGGAGCACTTCCATTGACATGAGAGCTTGCTGAAGTGGTGACTGTGCCAGATCGAGCAGTAGACGAACTTGGAGAACTATACTTAACATTTTCCTCCACTTTTATAGGAGTTGAATTTTTTGCTTTCAATTCTGGATCAGCAGTTGGTGATCCAACCTCAATAAGAAAAAAGTCATTAATAGACTTAATGTTACATGATACGTTAGCATGGAAATTTGAGAAAGGTAAAGTATATAATTAAAATGGTAACAGATATTTTGTTCTCTATGACGCAACGTCTGATCAAATAGAAATGAAATGCGAACTTACAGAAAAATGTTTACATAAACTATTAAACGCTTTTCATTAGCAAACATTGTTGCTTTGTTTATACAAAAGAAAAATTCATATTGAAACGAATACTTACATCTGGCATTGTTACTGAAGTCTGAGGTAGATTTGAGCTTTGGGGGGTTGATGGTGTCGACTGATCTGACTTTTCACATGCAGTAATAACAGCTGCAGTTGCCTCAGAAAGCGCCGTACGGACACGAATTAACTCATCCTCTGTACATTTCAAATCCGCACGTATCTATATGTATAGAAGTAAATTTTGAAATTGAACATAAAATACCTAGGTGTATTAATTTTACTATAACATTTTATTTATTGATTATACTCAAGGATGATAATTCAGTCATATACTGAAATCAATATCTATTGAGTATATTTTAATGAATAAGGACGTAAATATCACTGAGTTAATATATTTCTTCTGTAGCATAGTTAAAATGATGGTTAAACCACTTAAAAACACGTTCAAAATAAGTATCAAAAAACTGACCATTTCACGTTCCTGTACAGTTTCTTCACATTTTCTACGATAACGAGTCACTTCAGCTTTTAGTTGTTTGTTTTGTGTTTGGAGTGTGGAAATTAGACTACGCATTTCGCAACTGATAGGACCAGCTTGTTCATTATGCGTCAATGCTTGCTTGAAATCCAATTCCATAGTTTCATATTTGTGTCTTAGTTGAGAGTATTGCCCTTCAATTAGAAGCATTTCAGATCGCATCTGATTCTGTATAGCTGCTTCATTTGCCTAACACAAAAGAACCATATAGTAAACAGTAAACAGGAAATTCTTAAAAAACATAATGCTATAGAATTTTATTTACAGAATAATGTGTTTCAGCTATGGGATGACGTCGGACAATTTGAGTTTTAAAAATAACAGAATGGAAGTCATACAAATATCCTACTGAAATGACTAAAAATCAGTTAGGATATAACGAATAAAATGAATGTTCAGTAAACAAACATGCAGTTGTAAACCCATTTGCAATTACCACTTGAATATTTACAAAAATATGATGCGCATTTTGTTTTTGTTGTGGATGCGCAGGAATAGACCAATAATTATCATGTTAAGTTCAATGGTGTCCTTGGACTTTAAATGGACATTTCCTATTGGTCGATATCTGTTCACTTGTACAAAATGTTGTTTTCTATTTTTATGGTACGCTGTGGTATGCTTGACTGGTATATAAACAAAGTATGTTTGAAATATAGTGATTCATATCCCCGAGGCTGTACTTGTGTTCTGGACTCAACTGACTGGGCTAGACAGGGAAGTGGGACCAATCGAGACTCTAGGCCGTCCGTACGTGTTTGCGTGTCATTGTAATCGATCGATAACACAGGGTAGAAATCTACAACAACTTAAATTCATAACAGTTTTAAAATGAGAGACCACGCGATAATAACCGATTATCATTAACATTGCTTTGAGAAACGATTTGGAATATTTTACAGGTCTGTAATTGTAGTGACTTTTCAAGTAATAGGTTAGTTCTATCTTTCTTAACTGACAACTCATCCAAAATTAGTTACTGCCACAGAGAAATTGTAGTATATAATAACAACAATATTCACAAATAACTAATAATTCAACCGGATGGTTTTTCAGACAATTAAGCTGCGAATACTTTCAAAGTCATCTTTTGCGATTTCAATCTGTCCTGAAAGAATTCATTTTATAGTTACGAAAATGCAGAATTATAATTTTATTCCACATGAAGGATCATAAACCTACAAGTAAGAACTTAAAACAATTTTATGTACGCCACTCTCTAAAAGAAACTTCTTTATCCGACAACACAGTACAAAGTCAAGAAACCTATGACATTCAGATCATATGTATTTTCTTCAGAAATGCTACTATATTACGTTGGCTGAACATAGAATCATGTGAATATTAGGTAAAAAGTAGTAATAAGTTCTCTCGTAGTTTAATGGTGTGAATGACGGTGTTCATTCCCAGTTGAAAAGAAAGCTGACACCTCTAGAGGAAGTGATCAGCTGTGACAAGTGCCCTGTTAAATACATGACGAACAAAGGAATTTTATGGGGAAAATAACGTTAAAGAATGGTCTAATATCATATGTCTAGTTTGTTAGACAAATCCTAATAATCCATATAATGGAATATATGCCATCTAATCAAGAATCCCCTGTGAAACTTATGTGTAGATATGAATAGAGTTCAGAATACTTTGTGAGAAACAATTTATGAGAAATTTCACAATTTTCAATAATAAGAAGTTCTTATTCAATTCTAAGTGTTATGATGTGCAAAACAATAGTTGAGTCAGTTGTACTTTTATGATGAGCATTTTTATTCGATTTGACAACTGGTATCTTTCTCTAGAGGATAGAACACGTATAAACTAATCAACAAGGAGAGAACTGCTTCTACATTAAAACAAGATCCCTTTTGTGGATGAAATTGTTTTTATGAAAACATCCAACCTTCCGAGTTGCTATTAATGTTCATTTTACAGATAATTCTGATGAAAACACTAAGGCTTTGTAATGTGTTTAGACGACAGACACAGAATATAAAAATAATTAACAGAAGGATTATATAAAACATATAAGTAGTGAATTAACTCATTAGATATGAGCTACACCTTAAGTATAAGCACTAAGATACTACCCAGTCGCTTGAACCGAAGCAGATGCAGTGGGGTCCGACTCTGAGACTAAATGGTCGCAAATCGAAAGATCTGATCACTAAGCAACCGCTTCCCAAAAATTATATTTACAAGAAACAACTGGAAAAAAGAAAAATTAATTTTAGGACGCACCTCCATCTCTTCTATCTGTTTCAGATGATTATGCCTGTTATTCTGAATAGTACTTCTAGCTTCCTCTAACTGACTTCTTAGTTGGATAGCTTCATTATATAGAATATTGAATTGAGTTTTTAAGGATAAATATTGAGGAGATTCTGTAATAATATGCTCGGGAATATCTCTTAACTAATAAAGCAAAAGATATATCAATAAAAAAACAATGAAAGTAAAAATTTGGAATGTGAATTATATGATGGATTGTGATGTACATACTAACTCAAATGATTAGATAACAATTAGAAATCGAACATGTTTGCCACAGTTAAAAAAATGAATAAAAGAGAATCCTTAAAACAAATTGACTACCTACAATTACAATGAAATATTGGTTTAATGGTCTCGATTTCCGGTCACCCTCAAGTCATCCTGAAAGGAGCACAAAGGGAATAGTTTGATTCAAATAACCTTTATCATACTGATGTTAATAACAATCTAACAGAAACTCGGAAGAGAAAAAAGGCTCTTAAGATGCTACACTTGAATGCAAGCAAATAATTGCACTTCTGAGTATAAACAGCACTGGAGATTTCCGATGACATAATTATATGAAGTGCATTGAAAAAAATTGAATGGGTTCATCGAAATTCTGTAAGATTCCAAATGACAGAGAAATCAGGAAATTTAAAAAAAAATTCAAAACTAACTTGCATATTCAATGAAGCACATTCTGCAACTTTGTCTTCCAAGTGACGTTGAAGGCGCTCTAATTCATTTATACGATTATTTGCCAACTCACGGTACTCTTCCAGTTCACAAGCCAAGTCATTATATTTATTCCGTGTAATTGATCCATCAATATTTGAAGGATCTTCACGACCTACAAGAAAAAGAAAATATTATTGAACTATAAAATAATAAAATAACGAAGTACATTAACCTTGTAAAGGCTCTCTACTCGAACACAACTGGTAGAGTGAGAGCTTATGGCGAATTGTCATCAGAATTGATTACCTCAAGTGGTGTTCGTCAGGGCTGCCCATTCTCTCCATTCTCGTTCAACTTTGTCGTCAACGTACTTTTAGAGATAACACTCTCCTCATCTAACTTTACAGGGGTTGAACTTCTGCCGGGAGGTTCACTTTCTGACCTAGAATATGCAGACGACATAGTTTTATTTGGTGAAGACGCTGACAAAATGCAGAGTCTTCTGACTACTCTGAGCAACAATGCAGGCATGTTCGGGATGCGATTCTCCCCCTCGAAGTGTAAAATGTTGCTACAGGATTGGGTTGCATTGACACCCGAACTAATGAGAGGGAGTGAAGTAATTGAGCGCGTCGATCGCTTCACTTATCTTGGAAGTCTCACCAGCTCTTGTGGTCTGGTGTGACGAAATCTCAACACGGATACAGAAAGCTCGACTAGCTTTTGTCAACCTGCGTCATTTATGGCGTAGGCGAGATATCCGTCTATCAACCAAAGGACGTGTTTACTGCGCAGCAGTTCGTTCGGTCCTACTTTATGGCAGTGAAACATGGCCGGTAAGAGTAGAGGATATCCGTAGGTTACTAGTATTTGATCATAGGTGTCTTCGAAATATTGCTCGTATATCCTGGGACCATCGAGTAAGTAATGCAGTTGTTAGGAAACAGGTACTAGGTAAGGATGGCAAATCAATTGATGACGTAGTGAAACTTCATCAGTTGAGATGGCTGGGACATGTGTTACGTATGCATAACAACCGACTGCCCCGACGAGAGATGTTTTGTTGTATAGGAGTAGATTGGAAGAAAGCTAGGGTCGGCCAGACCAAAACATGTCACAAATCCATGAAGTCACTGACAAGTGGACTGAGTCATATTGGTAGGTGTAGGCTACCTGGTTGGGGACCGCGAGATGATATCAACCGATGGTTAGACACCCTGAATGACATGGCTCAAAATCGTTTGCAATGGCGCAGGTGCATCCACTCTTTGTCTTCTCCCAAATTATAATCTTCTGAATTCTTCATATCCCTTTCTTTTTTCTCTTTCCAAATTTATTTCACTGGATTATAGTCCTTGAATAACATCTTCAAACCCTAATTTTTCTGATTACAGCTTATAATTTTACTACATCTAGCACTACGGGATTTGAATCGACCACTGCATTTCTGTGCTAATGTGGTGTGGCAACTCGAACTGATGTACGTACGTACGAAGTTCTACGTTCTTACTGACTGACTGACTGACTGAAAATTAAATTTTTAAGTTCATGGTGACATGTGAACAATAAATAATCATGATGATGTAATAGAAAGATTATAATACTAATTTATGTTGTGTAAATAGTAACAATAGAAGATTGAGTGTATGCAAGTAAAAGTCGTATGAAATTAATAAGTCAGCAACCGGTTATAACGTGAACAGAGTAAGATAAATGAAACATGACTTTATTACAACGATTAAAGGTGATAGGCGATTAAATGAAATGAAATGATATCAGAAACAATTATGAATTAAATAACTAGTGACTGGCTTCATGAGGTAATTCTAAGAATTTTAATGAGAAACCGTGAGCGGTGAAGCTAATCAACGTCAGATAGGAACAGGTATCTATTTCAGATAATGGAAGATGGTCGCGCAATTTCGTGGATCAGTTAAAGTTAGACATTAATACCGTTGGATGCTGACTCAATGGTCTAGAGTTTAAGCGTTCGCACGCAAGACCAATTGTCCTGAGTTTGGACCCCATGTGCGAGATCGTGAATGCGCACTGCTGAGGAATCCAATTCTAGAACGAAACAACCGTCCAGTGCTTCCAGATTTCGAACGATCGTCTAACAATAGTTAATTCATGATCTCAATCAAAAATGCATCAATCTCCACAACCTCACAATGATATTAAGAATAATTAATGAAAGAGGTGAATATCTTCAAATATGAATTATAATAGCAGTAATATTAGTTTAAGATTATGGTAAAGACAATGATAAGAGATATATCTTGTTTGTTGCGTACGCTTCTGGCTTCGTTTCATAAAAGAAAAATTCACACTATCAATGGATGAAAAATTTATGCATATTACAAGTTTACGAAGCAGCATAGTCCTCAAAAAAGAAAATATATATGTATATATATACATGTAACATGATTCAGTTATAGTTTGGCAATATATAACGTCTTTAACTTAACTAATCCCGTGCTAACCAAGAAGTTTAGTTTTTTTCACTAAAGCGATTTTTCTACTGATTATTTCTGACCGACTACTATGATGATTTTGGATAAATTATCACACCTGATAATAAATTAGATACGTCCCATGTTGCGAAAAATGTGATAGATTATAAGAAACCCTGAATGCCCTGGTACGGCCGAGAGTGGGGAGAGTCCGCTCTCCCTCTCGAAATACTCTCACACGGCCACGCGTATACAGCCTCTGCCAGGGAAGTCCTACTCATTGCCTTCTCGTGGCACGGGTGTTGTTTACGAAAATGAGAGGACGAAAAGCGAATGTCCGGCGCTTTAACCGGATTCCAAATCAATGGTGCACATGGGCTGGCTCCAGTATCCTGAGGGAACAAATGGCGTATGAACCAATCGTTGGTCACCGGCTACCATGGGACTGCACCTTCCTACGATGCTCCACTGCCTTGTGGGTTAGACCTTTAGGTTAAAGGCTCGGGGAGTGGCCCCCTAAGATAACCACCTGCTTCGGTTTGGGCACCCGGGCAGTATCACAGCCCACACACAAATGATGAACTCTTTATGTCTATGGAAATTAGTTTTGTCGCTTTGAAAAACAATCAATTGATTCAAATTATGATCACTACAATTATTGTCATTATTAATACTAATATTATTATTACTACTATTATTGTCATTATTGTTATTATTATCATTATTATTATTATTTTCCACATTATTCACCTTCTTTTATACTTATACAGCGGCTCGTCTTTGGTGGAATTCCGACTGTATCTAAACGTTCTCGAGTCACTGTCCGGTTGAAAATTGAATGTTACCACCGAATACGAGGACTGAAGCAGATTTTCTGAAACCACGTTCACCATTCAAACTGGCTGCCTTCAACGTTCGCACATTTATGCAGGTCGGACAACAGATAGGGATGGCTATGTCTTTGGAAAGTCTTCATATCGACGTGTGTTGTCTATCCGAGACCCGTATTCAAGACTCTAGCGAAGTACTACAAATTCGATCTCCATCTGTCGCTTCGAAAAGCTTGTTTTACGTGCGCTTATCCGGGGACCCTGTGGCATCTTCGTCAAGTCTTGCTGGCGTTGGTGTCGCACTAAGCGCTAGAGCTGAGGCAGCACTAGTCGATTGGATCCCCATTAACAGTCGGTTATGTGCTGTTAGATTAGAAAGTTCCATCAAAGTGAGAAGAAATCGGCGTGAGAAACGATGTCTTTTCGTCATCTCCGACTATGCCCCGACAGATTGCGGACCGGATGCAATCAAGGATGAGTTTCACCATCAGTTATCCGTTCTTCTCCAGAAAGTGCGTTCGACAGATATTGTAGTACTTGAATGTAGACCTGAATGATCAGGTTGGGCGTCTAGGCACAGAAGAGAGTCGTTTAGGTGGCCGATGGGGACTCGTTGGTCGCAGGTCAGATAACGGGGACCGTATACTGCAACTGTGCACAGACCACAGCCTGTTCCTGGCCAACACTAACTTTCGGCACAGTCATCGCCGATGTGCCACCTGGCGTCCTCCCTCTGCATCGCAAGCCTGGACTCAGATTGATCACATCGCGATCGGCTACCGCTGGCGTGGTTGTGTACAAGACTGCCGCTCATTTTGGAGTACCTATCTGGACTCTGACCATGCCTTGGTCTGCGCCAATCTTGCCTTACTTTTCAGTGGACAACGAAGTGAACGCCATCAACAGATTGATGTTAGCAAGCTGGTTGCAACTTCTGTTGCAAGTAAGTATCGAACCGAGCTAGCCTCTAGGCTAGCTACCACTCCACCGAAAAGTATAGATGAGCATTGGTTGCAATTGCATGACGCCATGAAAATGGCGGGTACAGTCAATTGTGGGTTTGCGAAACGTCCCGCTTTTAAGCACTGGGTTTCTTCTGGTTACTTACAACTCATTGAAGCCCGTCGGTCTACTCCGGGTGACTGTGAGTTTGACCACAAACGAAGGTTGTTACGTAAGGAAATTGGGCAAAGCTTGCGTAAGGACCGAGAAGCCTGGTGGTCGAAGCGTGCTAATGAGCTGGAAGCAGCAGCTGCATCTGGTAACTACCGGAAGCTCTTCCAACTCATCCGAGCCACTGGCAGCAAGAAGTCTGGTGTGAGCGAAACAATCTGCGAGGATGATGGGATGCCAATCACTAACATCCATCGACGTCTTGGACGATGGGCAGGGTTTCGTTCTGGTCGAGGATGTATTGATCATATCTTCACCCTCCGCCAAATGTTAGAACACCGCCATACTTTTCAAAGGCCAACAATCGTAGTGTTTCTTGACATCAGGGCTGCCTTCGATTCGTTGGATAGGACTGTTCTCTGGGATTGTCTATTGAAGAAGGGTGTGCCTGAGAAGTTTATTAACATCCTAAAAGCCCTGTATAAAAACACCTCAGGCAGAGTGAGGACATACAACCACTTCTCTCCATTGTTCCATTCGAGCAGTGGGGTTAGGCAGGGTTGCCCAATATCACCATTCCTCTTCAACTTTGCCATCGACGACATTCTGGAAACATCTCTGATGAATGTAAGTAATGGTGGTGTGGATCTGTTGCCTGGAGAAAGACTTCTCGACCTCGAGTATGCGGACCATATTGTCTTACTGTGCGATAATGCCCAAGGCATGCAATCCGCACTTAATCAGTTGGCAATCAGTGTCCGTAGGTATGGTATGTGCTTCGCACCTTCGAAGTGCAAAGTACTTCTACAAGACTGGCAGGATTCTAATCCTATACTCACCCTGGATGGTGAGCAGATAGACACAGTCGAGAAGTTCGTGTATCTGGGTAGCTGCATAAGTGCTGGTGGGGGTGTGAGTGATGAGATCAATGCACGAATAGTGAAAGCCAGAGCGGCTTATGCAAATCTGGGCCATCTATGGCACCTTCGTGATGTTAGTCTGGCCGTGAAAGGTCAGATCTACAACGCGTCGGTGAGAGCAGTTCTGCTCTATGCTTGTGAAACCTGGCCTCTCCGAGTTGAGGACGTTAGACGACTCTATGTGTTCGATCATCGCTGTCTCCGAAGGATTGCTGACATTCAGTGGCAACACCATGTCAGTAATGCAGAGGTTCGGCATCGTGTGTTCGGGCACAGAGATGATAATGCGATTGGTGTCACCATCTTGAAACACCGACTTCGGTGGCTTGGACATGTTCTACGAATGTCGTCCCAGAGAATTCCACGTCGTGCATTATTTCCCGACTCTGGGACTGGTTGGAAGAAGCGGAGAGGTGGTCAGTGCATGACATGGTGTCGTGGCATGAAAGAAAGCTGCAAAGGACTGGCTTGTGTTGGTCCTTCACGACTCCCTGGTTGGGGTCCGAGAGATGGTGCTACACAGTGGCTAGAGACGTTATCAGATATGGCTCAGAATAGAAGCCAGTGGCGATCCTGCTGTAACCTTCTTTTACTTTCTTCATAAAAAGTGGTTGTGTCTCATTTACCTGAAAGATTTCTTCTGATTGTACCTCTTCGTCATTACTCTCTTTTTCTTTTGCGTTCCTTAGTTTTTTTTTCTTTTTACTTCTCTTCGAATTCCCATTGTTTTGTGTGGCGCATATATATTGGCGCTCTCTTGTACCAATATTTATGTGTTCAAATAGAAATAAAATATGATTACGATTGAGAAAACGTCGAACATCTAGCCAAAGAAAAGGAATGCCTTAGCTTGACTATTTATTTTAGTACAAGTATCAACTGATGTTAATGTTATTAAATCCCATTTTTGATACTATTATTGGAAACACTAAAAACAGAACTTTGACAAATCTCTACACAAGAATAATCGTCAGTAAACTTGAACGCAAAACTTTACACCTGAGTACATGCGTAATACTTAGTAATTTGAATAATAATCATGGATAAACAGAGGGGAGCTATAATTAGTAATAAAAAAAAATATGAAAACCAAATCAAATACATACCTGGAGAGTCTGAGCATTTGAGAGCTGATAATTCAACTTCCATTTTTTTATTCTTCTCCTGAGCTTCATACAGACGATGATCTAAACGCGTAACTTGTTTCATTGCTTCCGCAAGTTTATAATCTAAATCCTCATACTTAGCTTGCCATTCCGCTGACGCGTCACTATTCGTCTGAGCTAAGTCTTGTAGTTCACGAAGCTAAAAATCGACCGTTACAAATTGACGATTAAAAATATGCATATACATATATACTAAAGATTCTTAGTGACTTCTAACACTAACATTGATTTTATATCCAAGAAATAGGATGAAAAACGCTTTGATACAGTTATTGAATAATTTCTGGGTGAATGTTCAACCACAACATTGCAATGATATGGGATAGGAAGTTCTGAAATGTTAGTTTTGGAATGAGGTTAAATTGACGAATAGATCGTACTCCATTCACAAGATGTCAAATTTTCTCGAGTTATACCTAAAAATACTATTCATAGTGCGCATTTTTGTCTATTAATCACCACAATTTGAGGAAATTTACGATTCCAAATTCCACGATTACAACTTTTGACCTCTTGATCTTTTTTAAAAACAAATATGACGCATTATTAAGATATTCGTTTGGAATCTAATGGCCATTAGTTTGTCTCTTAATTATTAAACATGAATAACACATCAAGATGTGTATTGATATAAAGGAAAAAATAAAAAATTTACTAAGTTATCAACTACAATGGCATGTAAGAATGACCTGAAAAAACTTGTTACACTTTATATGACATCTCGTTGTAGCTGACTGACTGACTTATATGACATCTAATCATCTTTTTGTGTCACCATTTTGTATACAAGTGTCACTATAAGAAAAATTTATCTATTTATTTGAACACATAAATATTGGTACAAAGAGGCACCAAATACATATGTGTCACACAATAACAATGAGTATGTGAGTAGAGAATGTAAAGTGAGTATAAGAAAAAAAGAACAACAACGAACAGAAATTAGTGTATGATAGTGAAATAATAATAATATTAATAATAATAATAATGGGAGAAGCAATTCAGTTAGCAAAAATACAACCAAAAAGAATTATTTTAGTTAAAGAAGTTACGTTCGTTTTTTCTGGGACAAAAAGTAAAAGAAAGTTACAGTAGGATCGCCATTGGCTTCTATTATGAGCCACTGATACTAGTTCATTAGAAGCCTTATGTCAATGATTAGGTCTCATGAACACTTATCAGTAGTTTAATCCATATCATCGAGTGTCGTTTATGGATCATTGTTCTCTTCATCATTTTTTGACAACTGAAAACATGTCTATCATCAAAATATAAAAGCACCATCGATAACATGCACCTAACTGAAATTATGATTATTTTATAGAGGAAGTAACCGTCAAGAAATGAATTATGGAAAAGTTGGTTAAAACCACATACAGCAATACAAACTGAAAAACTTGTACATACGCGAAGACTACTTTGTCGATGTTTAGAATGCAAATTTGTACAAAGGCTTTGGAGACGAAGATTTTCCTTGTTTAAAAGTGTTATTTCCTCGTGCAAATCTACTGCACCAGATCTGCTGCACATTGTTGAAGCAGGCTCCTGAGATGAACTAGTTGATTGATTGTTACCTTCAGAATTAGAGTTTTGTGTGCCATAAGGAGCCGATGAACTGGAATGAATAGGTAAAATATTATCACTAATTTCAGATCCAACAGAAACTGATGCGGTTTCAGTAGTGTTCCCAAGCAGTTGACGCAAACGAAACTGGTGAGTAACCATTCTGAAAAACAAATTATAAAGATTAAGAAAGTATAGAGAATTTGTTAGTGAAATTAAATTGAAAGGATTGATTTCATGAAATATATACAGTACGGTATAATAATTTTCACTTTTGCTAACAGAACATTGAATGATTTACATAAGGAATACATGATCAAATAACGTAAAAAGAACAAAACTAAATATGATTAAAACATGCCACTCAAGTATAAGATGTTCCCAACCAATATAACAGACGATTAGTAAATGGCAAAAAAATATGAAGCACAAGCTACTCTTGTACTAAGAAATAAGATACGATACATGAAAATTAAGACACAAACTTATCAAAAGAACTTGCTTTTCATAGGCAGATAAGAGGCGTGCAATAATACGCTTGGAAAAATGCACTCGTTCTTGGAGCTTTTCTGGAACTTCTTCCTTGTCCCATGAAGCCAATTGTTTGAGAAATGATTCTGTAGATGTTGAAACTACGAAAAACGTGGAGTGAGAATGAAAGATAAACAAAGAGAAAATAGGGATGTCAAGATGTTGCTGTATTTCAAATATTTGGTGGTTATCTTTGCATATCATAATAATACTGAACAGCAGTTTCTCTGTCAACGTAGTGCTCAAGATTATTGAGTCACTAGTCAGGTTGCACAGACCGAGAGGCTTGCACCCAAACTTCATAAAAGGAATTGCTCTCAGAAGTTTAGTCTAAATAACACAAGTCAAAACACCCGTTATGGTGATGTTTTTGTCCTAGGGCAAATGTAACTGAAGAGATACCAGTCATATGAAAGTAGTCTTACGCGATTAGATAAATCAAATGATTAATTGTACTCATTTAAGCAGAGATAAGTTTGGAAGAATTGAAAGATATCGTTATACATGAAATATCTACATGACTACGATAGCAGGGAAACTAAGTGCTTTGTACAAAAAGAAAATCGAGTACGAAAAAAACAGTAGGAAAGAACGTCAACTAAACGCTGTTGAAAGGTGTTAATTAAGTGTCTGAAAGTAACAACTTGAATATCAATAACAGTAGTTGTTCGAAAGTAAACTTTCATAACAGATACAGACGTTCCGCGTGGCGTTGGACTATATTGAGTAGAAGCTACAGATGGTCAGAACGTTGTAACAGCTCCCAGAAAGCGCAACAAAGCCTTTAGAGGCTCTAAAGAAGTCGGACTCTGTCCAATCAGAACCTGGTAGAACTTTCCAGGATATCAACACAGCATGCTACGACTGGAGAACTACATAAACTCCCTACATGGGGATTGGCTGGATTGTAATGATTTTATAGCCTATACCAAAAACTATAAACACACCTGTGTTTCTGTGCATTTCGTACACTTACCCAATGAACGCTTCTCCGGCCTTTTTCGCCTTCTCGACTTGATACCGAATTCTACATGTTCGAGTGGCAAAGCCGTATACCGTATCTACCGTAATCAACCAGAGGACGAAAAACTAATGGCAGGAATGAAATAATGATGAGTTCCAAGAGTTTTATTTATCCCTGTTGAGTAATCAACACATAAGTGAACGCTCTATTTAGCGAATTTCGTGACTATTATGGATTTTTATTTTGCATACTAAAAATAATACGCAATTATTTTACACGAAAAATACTTGTGTCCAGCGCTGACTATGAAAATTCAAACAATTTACATAGCTCAGTTAATCATCCCACCTAGAACACAAATAAACACACCCATAACCAATTAAAAATTGATTCAAAAATCGATTAAGTTACATTGAAAGATAAAAAATAAGCTTTTAAAACAGAAGCATACTTTCTTCCTCAGCATCCGAATCAAAACGCTGAAGTATAATCAAGCTATCTTCATCGAGCTAAAATTTCAAAAGAAACTAATTAGAAACAACAGTCAGTAATTAAATTCCATCTGAATGACAAAAACTTATGACCATCAAAAAATTGGCGTTACAAGCATAACCAAGTTGTGCCAAACTGTTCATGTTTGAACTTTGTTAGCCCTCAGGTAGTTTAGAAGCTAAATACGAATGGATTTATGTTTGAATCCTATCCCACAATGCCAGCGCTTTTCTTCGCTTTTAGGATTGGTTGAAGTTGGGCACTAACACCGTTGGATGCCGGCTTAGTGATCTAGAGGTTAAGGGTTCGCGCGCGAGACCAAAGCTCCTGAGTTCAGATCACACGTGAGGGATCATCCCATCAGCTGATAAACAGAATTCTACATGTGTAAGCAAGCTAAATGATATGGGAATGTGATGTAGGTTTACAGAAAAGATAAACTGTGAAAAAGCAGTGAATAAATAAACTTCAAGCTTCCGAATTTCACTAGTTAATACAACACCAAAAATAGTTTGTTAAGAAATGATTGTATGCTTAAAAGTTTTAATAGTACATTTATATGGTATGCCCTGTCAAGATTTTATTTTACATGCTATGGAACCATTCTACGAATACACCCACGAAATAAAATAATGCTACTGTCTAACAGTGATTGACTATGAAATGTTCATTGGAGATATAAATTTTATTTTTAAACAACAGTGTTTTTGCATACAAACCTTACATCTATGGAAAGCATACGCAATAAATGTGAATTGATGTTAGCTAAATGACAGTACATAGACTGGAGAACTTCATATTTACGCAGTTGTATCCGCTCGTTGTGCATTAATGTGGTTTGTTAGTGACCCTACTTGTGCTTCATTTTCAGTGGTTAATAATTAGTGTAATTAAAACTAGTAGACAGCAGTCAGATTCTAAGTTCAATGATTCGAAATGCATGTCGACATTTTCGAATCCTATAAGATGTACTAAATCTCTGTTCACTTGTTTTGAATACAAATGAAAGTTGTTTATTCAGTACGTTCGGCATGAACAGAGTGAAACATCAACAAAACACAACTTTTGGTAAACTTATTCTTAACGTCACTGTAATTTCATGAAATATAAGAATGAGATATTGGTTTACGTACATGGCACGAACAGAAAATTACCTGTAATGAATAATACTACCAGCTGCTTGAATTTCAGATTTTTTAGTAATGTGTTGACTCCCCTACATTACGATCTTGGCATCCATAAAATGGTAATCCAGTTCCATGGAATACACTGAGTATCCCAAATTAACACAGTTTGATTTCATACACTTAAAAAATCCAAACAGATCGGTCCTATCGAAACCCGAAACCTCGACAACAAGAATGACTTATAACAACAAGTGGGGACCTTCGTTATAGAATAGAGTAAACAAACTGAAGACCGGATATACTACCTGTGTTGATGAACACAAGGTCCATATGGTTAAAGTGATAAAGTTGGCAACGAATAAATCGAAAAACAAGAAGCGCAGTCAAAAACGACTGTCAGATTTTAGTAAATCTGATTTGTCTTCAATTACTTTTGGAAACGTTTAGCTTTTGAATAATAAATAATTATTAATAGATTAAAATATGAATTTTTTCTTGTGTTGTAATGTACACTGTATGCCTTAAGGAAAACACAAGTCTGTAATATACAAAACACTGTGTACTGAGGAGTAATATTAAGCCTACATATCCAGCGAACAATCACTAGACTTAACATAGCAGTAATAATCTATGCGAAATATTTTTGTTAAAATCACCTGATTCCAGTAACGATTGACTACACAAAGTAAAGCATCATCCTTAGTTTGGCGATTTTCCAGGTGTTCAATACGTTCCTTCAATTCAGCAATGGCAGCTCGACGTTCCATCAATGCTTCCCATAGTTTTTTATTTTGAAGCTGTAATGCTCTCTTATCAAGTTCCTCCAAGGATGAGATTCGGATGAATGATATAGGCTCTGATGCAGCTGAAATTAAACGTTTACTGATCGGGGGAGTCGAATCCAATTGTGAAGTAGATCCATGTAGTAAATCATGGTCCGGATTTGTATCTTCAGAAAATGACCTCTTCATCTTCTGCAATTTTAAAAAAAAACCAGTTAAGACGTCACAATATAAACACCCACCTCAAACTTGCAGAATATTGTAGTACATTCAGTATACAAAGATCTAGTTTGTGTGAGAAAAAGGATCGAATACCACTTGCGAACACTAACATCTTCATAAACAGCTACTTTATAAATCAAATTTATAAATGAAAGATATATTCATTTTATTTGGTCAAAATTTTCAGATAAAGCTACCCTATAACTTAAAGCCAGTCTTTCGGATTACTATTTTAATAAAACTTCCTGAGAAATACGCAACAGCCAGCTACTAATACAGGGGGTAGTAAATATTAATTCATCTAGTCTACCCATTTCTTTAATTGACAAATCATTCCTATTCAAATACTAACGATAAAATTAGTGAATACAACTAGGCGACCGATCTGCTTGCTACAGACTATCTCGCTTACATAATTAACTGGATATGTGAAAATGCTGCTAGAAGTATACCTAAACCTTGATTTTACTAACTAAGAACAGAGTCAACCTGTAAACTTCGATTACTAAACGTACATGCAACTACGTCACACATAACAGTAACAAAGAAAAATAATCAAAAAAATATCTATGAAAAAGTACGTATTTTTATTTGAATCACCGTTGAAAGGCAGTTACGGCAGAGTTACAAGAAATCTTTGTAGGAAGAGAGTGAAATATCATATGAAAGCAAATTGGGATTTTAAAAATTGAAAGATTGAGAGAATACCATTTTTCGATTTACACAATAACTCATTTTAGGCAACAAGAATGTTCATTTTTTACACTCAAAGGGCTGAACAATAACAATATCATATCAACATAAATAAAAATATCAAAACAGCGTCAACGAAGTGATAAGTAATGCAAGACTCGAAGAAGCATTTTAGCTAGAGAAAAAATGATATAAATAGTAAAGTATTAATCAATTCTCATAATATACCAGGAAGCCCTGTGAAGTTAAAGGTAGCAAGTCAAATACCCTTTGATTACAGAAACAATGACAAAGAATAAGCTGGTGGGTTAACGATATAGTCAAACCACACAGCATCAGCCCGGTAAGGAATCGACGTTTAACAGGATAACAAAAATTAAAAAAGGAGGCACATATGGTGCTTCGAAAATATCGCATTTTCCATACAGATGTGTAAAACACTTTTAAGAACTAAGATAATTACCATGGCAAGAAAACTTATAGAAGAGAAAATAACTATCGAGGTAGGAATGCATAATGAGTCGATAGAGAAAAAGATAATCACCAACATATGAATAAATACATGATTGTAAAAATCAAATAACTGATCATTTGTTGGTTTGACTAATGGATAAATTAAATAATTGCAAAAATGAAAACAACGCGGAGGAAAAACGCATAAAATACTCATATAAATGTACACTAACATGCAAACATTGCTCAAGTTACAAATGGTAATTAGCCAACGATTTGACAGTTTCTAAGTGAAATAAGATATATAGAAATATCTAAATAAAGAGTTTGGTACATCTGATAGTTAGGAAATCACTCAGTTCACCGAGTGTCATAAATAAGAAAGTAAAAATATGAATGTACTATGGTTGGCTAGATGAAGACATCCATTCGATCAAAATAACAATGAATTTATCAGATGGTATACGTAAATTGTGTATCCATGTAAAGCATTGCGTCCGGGAATACTATTTACGTGTTTGTGACCAAACACTTTTTATTCAAGATTTGATTAAAAATGATGCTTCAAGAAAAGATCAGATATTGAAATGGGGAAAAAATACATTGTTAACAAAACCGTCATAATACAATTCATATATATATATATAATATTCCTGGGTAGGAATCAAAAACAGAATCTTGTGAACAGTACGTGTAAGGTATTGTACATGAAGAAACTCACAGATGAGCTTGTTTGGGATGAAAATAGCACACAACAAAAAATATATCAGTTGCATACAAAATACGCATATCAGAAAAGGGAAAATGACAAAATTCGCATCAAAATTCTAACACTCATGAAATAAAACTAGGTGTTCATAATACATACCAATCCACTTAGTTCATACAAATGAAATTATGAAGCCTGAGAAACACAGAAAAAATTGAACAGCTTCATTATTTTTCTTTCAACGAACAGAAACTATTTCCTCTGAACATGCAAACTTTCTACTGCAGCCAATGGAGTTTGTGGTTGTGATTTTCCCAAATTCATAAGTCTGATATTTTGAGGATCAAACATCATATGCTCATTCATGAAAGGTCGATTGGGAGAGTTATGAGACGCAATTGAAGGTATGTGTACAGAAGAACCAACCAAACGGGATGAAGTAGCAAGCGCTGCTGCAGCAAGTGCTGATACCTGTGCGGCAGCAGAACTTGATGGGCTTACTAGACGTGTGTCAATTGGTTTTGGAATTACTCCATTAACATGTTCGCCCGAGCGCGATGAATATGGATCACAAATACCAGTTTCCATCACTCGACTATTTTCTAAGCGATGGGAACCAAGAGGTAAAGCATACGTAGGTTTTACAGAATTACTGGTGGATATATTGACAGTGTTTATGACAGTTGAATGGCTATCAAGTGGGTTGTTGCTGTAGGTTAAATTAGTACTGGCGACGTCCATATCCTCGAAATCTTCAGCAAAAACAAACGGCTGTGATTGAGTCGGGATAGAAGTTTGAACAGTATTTGGAAGATGTGCAACTAACGTAGACTGCAACTGCTCGGGGTGAGGGGTTCCAACATGTAGAATATCAGTTCCTTGCATAAGTGTATTTGGATTTGCCATGATTGTATGTCCAACGAAGCCTGGAGAACTAAAATATGTAAAACATATCAATGTACCCAGTTACCATATTATCATAACAAATCAGACATGGATACTTAGAAAACTCTTAGTTGCAATACAGATATCTCATACACCCAAAATGTGATTAATATGCAAAAATCTGAAACTCTTACCTGCTGGATGAAATCCCAGACCTTCGACGCGAGCGTGAACTGGTTTGCCAAGTAGATACCCATGGATCACGAGCCATGTCAATATGGATTTGAGGGTCAACATAAGTAAATCCTTCAAAAACATCAGAAACCATTGCAGATATTGGCAAGCCCTCATCCGGACTTTCGACGGGATTTTCTTGAGTGAACTTAGGATCGAAAAGAGAAACATCCGTGTCAGATGTCAAAGTTGGTCGGAAGGGTGGTTCAACCTGCTTTTTCAGAACACGATCCCAATCAGTATTACGAAAGAATGGGTGCATCTTGATCGCTTCGGAATCGGATGGACCAGAACCAAGGCGTCTACTGACATCAACAACTAAAAGCTAAAGGAATTATAGAATAAATTAAACATGTAAACGAGTGCTGACGACCAAAATGGAGATATCAAACAGGAAATTATTCTTCCAGAGAGGTTTACATTGACCTTTCCTTCATATTGATCAGCAATCATGAGAAATAGGGCACTTTTAGGAATTGCTAAACAAAGCAATAAACAATGAATTTAACCAGTGGGATGACTTTAATATTTGTCTTGATCTTCGTAAAAAAAATTTACTGATTTGACGACCAGAAAATACACTTAAGATGTTTGCTGAATTTTTCGTTCAATACATACTGCAACGGAGCACTTTCTACCGAGTTATCACGCTTCAAAACAGCGAAAAGACATTCACCAAGAGGTTAGGATTAATATACATGATCACGGGCAGCAAAGAACAAATTGCGAATAATAAAACATTTGAGATTTAGAAGTCTGCATACCGTTATACAAATCAAGCCAAGAATTAGTGACTACACGGATTGGTTGAGCGTTTTAGTCTGGTGACCCGTAGCCGCTATTGAACAAAATCCGTCTACAGCTAGCCTATGTAAACTGTAAATTGACGTGTAACGCGTGAATCGACCAAGTCAAAGGAGGTCTATAATCTTGTTGACTGTCATATTAATTTATGGATCACAGCTTTGCCCATTTTTTGTCAGGTGTTCTAATCATCCTAATCAAGTAATGACAGATGGATTTCTTGAAGAATATCATTGCTATGTACTGTCAATGCTCCTAAAAACTACTCTTTTATTATAGCACTTGTTTTCTGAATACTAATTCAGAAATCAGTATCTTCATAGTTATAGCATCCCTTGAAGGAATTATTAATTTATACAAGTCAGTCAGTCAGTAAGAACGTAGAACTTCGTACGTACGTACATCAGTTCGAGTTGCCACACCACATTAGCACAGAAATGCAGTGGTCGATTCAAATCCCGTAGTGCTAGATGTAGTAAAATTATAAGCTGTAATCAGAAAAATTAGGGTTTGAAGATGTTATTCAAGGACTATAATCCAGTGAAATAAATTTGGAAAGAGAAAAAAGAAAGGGATATGAAGAATTCAGAAGATTATAATTTGGGAGAAGACAAAGAGTGGATGCACCTGCGCCATTGCAAACGATTTTGAGCCATGTCATTCAGGGTGTCTAACCATCGGTTGATATCATCTCGCGGTCCCCAACCAGGTAGCCTAACACCTACCAATATGACTCAGTCCACTTGTCAGTGACTTCATGGATTTGTGACATGTTTTGGTCTGGCCGACCCTAGCTTTCTTCCAATCTACTCCTATACAACAAAACATCTCTCGTCGGGGCAGTCGGTTGTTATGCATACGTAACACATGTCCCAGCCATCTCAACTGATGAAGTTTCACTACGTCATCAATTGATTTGCCATCCTTACCTAGTACCTGTTTCCTAACAACTGCATTACTTACTCGATGGTCCCAGGATATACGAGCAATATTTCGAAGACACCTATGATCAAATACTAGTAACCTACGGATATCCTCTACTCTTACCGGCCATGTTTCACTGCCATAAAGTAGGACCGAACGAACTGCTGCGCAGTAAACACGTCCTTTGGTAGATAGACGGATACAAGTGTGAAATATTGTACTACGGTTTTCGACGCTCGATCTTTACTAATTTGCTAACGACCGTACTCTAGGAAGTATCGAAACTAAAATGTCAAACTTCACATTTTAGAGACGGTTACAGGTTATTCAAGAACATGGTCAACGTAACTAATTATGCGAAAGTCGAATTACACAACTTACCTTGGAAATAAGTGATACGGCTTCCCGACTTAAATAAGGTACAGGTATGAAATCACCTCGTAATATCTAAAACAAAGGAAAATTGCATTAAACGACTAGCTTATAGATCTACCTTGTTGACGAACACGAATTCTTCATGACACCACAAAAAAAACAGGGTTCATTCAATTTTAGAATCTTATTAGAATATTTAGTTTAAAAACATTTCCAACCTGCACAAGTATCACATATTAAGCGGTTCTTATGTCAATTAAGCTTTCCATATCCGCACCAGTTTTAAGAAAAGACATGGGCGATACAATTGATTTTGCTACTGATCATTTAAGTCGGTTTATCTTGTTTCGTAAGTGAAATTAAAACGCTAGATTTTGAAAATGGATTGGATTAAAAACACTGGAGATATTTTTTCTTTCTAACAAGTGCCCCCAAATGCCCTGGTATGGCCGAGAGTGGGGTGGGTTCGCCCTCCCTCTCGAAATACTTTCACACGGTCACGCGTATATAGCCGCTGCCAGGAAAGTCCTACTCACTGCCTTCTCGTGGCAGGGGTGTTGTTTACGAAAATGAGAGGACGAAAAGCGAATGTCCGGCGCTTTAACCGGATTCCAAACCAATGGTGCACATGGGCTGGCTCCAGTATCCTGAGGGAACAAATGGCGTATGAACCAATTCCTTTGTCACCGGCTACCATGGAACTGCACCTTCCTACGATGCTCCACTGCCTTGTGGGTTAGACCTTTAGGTCAAAGGCTCGGGGAGTGGCCCCTTAAGAAAACCACCTGCTTCGGTTTGGGCACCCGGGCAGTATCTCAGCTAGCACACAAAAACATGATAAACTATCTACCTATGAATAATATTCCTCTCGCTCCAAATAACAATCAAGTGACTCGCATTATTATTATTTACTACGTCATTATTCACCCTCTTTTATTCCCACTCTGTTGATACTTATTCTTCGACTTATAGAGCAGCTCGTTTTTGGTGGAAATTCGACTCTATCTAAACGTTCTCGAGTCACTGTTCGGTTGAAAATTGTATGTTACCATCGAATATGAGTACTGAAGCAGTTTTTCTGAAACCACGTTCACCATACAAACTGGCTGCCTTCAACGTTCGCACACTTATGCAGGTTGGACAACAGATAAAGCTGGCTATCTCTTTGGGAAGTCTTAATATTGATGTTTGCTGTCTATCCGAGACCCGTATTCAAGACTCTAGCGAAGTACTACAAATTCGATCTCCATCTGTCGCTTCGAAAAGCTTGTTTTACGTGCGCTTATCCGGGGACCCTGTGGCATCTTCGTCTGGTCTTGCTGGCGTTGGTGTCGCACTAAGCGCTAGAGCTGAGGCAGCACTAATCGATTGGATCCCCATTAACAGTCGGTTATGTGCTGATAGATTAGAGAGTTCCATCAAAATGAGAAGAAATCGGCGTGAGAAACGATGTCTTTTCGTCATCTCCATCTATGCCCCGACAGATTGCGGACCGGATGCAATCAAGGATGAGTTTCACCATCAGTTATCCGTTCTTCTCCAGAAAGTGCGTTCGACAGATATTGTAGTACTTGAATGTAGACCTGAATGATCAGGTTGGGCGTCTAGGCACAGAAGAGAGTCGTTTAGGTGGCCGATGGGGACTCGTTGGTCGCAGGTCAGATAACGGGGACCGTATACTGCAACTGTGCACAGACCACAGCCTGTTCCTGGCCAACACTAACTTTCGGCACAGTCATCGCCGATGTGCCACCTGGCGTCCTCCCTCTGCATCGCAAGCCTGGACTCAGATTGATCACATCGCGATCAGCTACCGCTGGCGTGGTTGTGTACAAGACTGCCGCTCATTTTGGAGTACCTATCTGGACTCTGACCATGCCTTGGTCTGCGCCAATCTTGCCTTACTTTTCAGTGGACAACGAAGTGAACGCCATCAACAGATTGATGTTAGCAAGCTGGTTGCAACTTCTGTTGCAAGTAAGTATCGAACCGAGCTAACCTCTAGGCTAGCTACCACTCCACCGAAAAGTATAGATGAGCATTGGTTGCAATTGCATGACGCCATGAAAATGGCGGGTACAGTCAATTGTGGGTTTGCGAAACGTCCCGCTTTTAAGCACTGGGTTTCTTCTGGTTACTTACAACTCATTGAAGCCCGTCGGTCTACTCCGGGTGACTGTGAGTTTGACCACAAACGAAGGTTGTTACGTAAGGAAATTGGGCAAAGCTTGCGTAAGGACCGAGAAGCCTGGTGGTCGAAGCGTGCTAATGAGCTGGAAGCAGCAGCTGCATCTGGTAACTACCGGAAGCTCTTCCAACTCATCCGAGCCACTGGCAGCAAGAAGTCTGGTGTGAGCGAAACAATCTGCGAGGATGATGGGATGCCAATCACTAACATCCATCGACGTCTTGGACGATGGGCAGAATTTTTCGAAGGGCAGTTCAACTGGCCTGCTGCTCCGGCAACATCGGTCAGACTGTCCTGCCCTCCATGGCCGGTGACGACTGATCCACCAAACGAGGAGGAAGTCCGCAAGGAACTCCAACTCTTGAAGCGTTACAAATTACCTGGCCCAGATGACTTACATCCGGCTCTTTTTAAAGATGGTGGTGACTTTTTGACTAAGGAATTGACGACGTTGTTTATAAAGGTCTGGGAACTAGAGAGTGTGCCAACGTCATGGAATGAGTCGATAGTTGTCCCTATCTTTAAAAAGGGTTCACGTCGTTCTTGTAACAACTATCGGGGGATAAGTCTACTTCCGATTGCGTCCAAGCTATTGGCTTCCGTCATACTTCGTAGGTTGTTCAAAACCCGAGAAAGATTGACTCGCGAGGAGCAGGCTGGGTTTCGTTCTGGTCGAGGATGTATTGATCATATCTTCACCCTCCGCCAAATGTTAGAACACCGCCATACTTTTCAAAGGCCAACAATCGTAGTGTTTCTTGACATCAGGGCTGCCTTCGATTCGTTGGGTAGGACTGTTTTCTGGGATTGTCTATTGAAGAAGGGTGTTTCTGAGGAGTTTATCAACATCTTAAAGCCCTATATACAAACACCTCGGGCAGAAGGAGAGCATCCAACCACCTCTCTCCATTTTTCCATTCGAGCAGTGGGGTTAGGCAGGGTTGCCCAATATCACCATTCCTCTTCAACTTTGCCATCGACGACATTCTGGAAACATCTCTGATGAATGTAAGTAATGGTGGTGTGGATCTGTTGCCTGGAGGAAGACTTCTCGACCTCGAGTATGCGGACCATATTGTCTTACTGTGCGATAATGCCCAAGGCATGCAATCCGCACTTAATCAGTTGGCAATCAGTGTCCGTAGGTATGGTATGTGCTTCGCACCTTCGAAGTGCAAAGTACTTCTACAAGACTGGCAGGATTCTAATCCTATACTCACCCTGGACGGTGAGCAGATAGACACAGTCGAGAAGTTCGTGTATCTGGGTAGCTGCATAAGTGCTGGTGGGGGTGTGAGTGATGAGATCAATGCACGAATAGTGAAAGCCAGAGCGGCTTATGCCAATCTGGGCCATCTATGGCACCTTCGTGATGTTAGTCTGGCCGTGAAAGGTCAGATCTACAACGCGTCGGTGAGAGCAGTTTTGCTCTATGCTTGTGAAACCTGGCCTCTCCGCGTTCAGGACGTTAGAAGACTCTATGTGTTCGATCATCGTTGTCTCCGAAGGATTGCTGACATTCAGTGGCAACACCATGTCAGTAATGCAGAGGTTCGGCATCGTGTGTTCGGGCACAGAGATGATAATGCGATTGGTGTCACCATCTTGAAACACCGACTTCGGTGGCTTGGACATGTTCTACGAATGTCGTCCCAGAGAATTCCACGTCGTGCATTATTTCCCGACTCTGGGACTGGTTGGAAGAAGCGGAGAGGTGGTCAGTGCATGACATGGTGTCGTGGCATGAAAGAAAGCTGCGAAGGACTGGCTTGTATTGGTCCTTCACGACTCCCTGGTTGGGGTCTGAGAGATGGTGCTACACAGTGGCTAGAGACGTTATTAGATATGGCTTAGAATAGAAGCCAGGTGCGATCCTACTGTAACCTTCTTTTACTTTCTTCATAAAAAGTGGTTGTGTCTCCGTTTACTGAAAGATTTCTTCTGATTGTACCTTTCTGTTCCCTCATTATTACTACATTACCTTACACCAATCTCTTCGTTGATGTTCTTTATTTATCTTCCTTACCTTTTTTCTTTTTCCTTCTCTTTAAATTCTCATTATTTTGTGTGGCGCATAATTATTTGGCGCACTCTTGTACCAATTTTATTTATTTATTTATTTTAACACATAGATATTGGTACAAAGAGGCACCAAATACATATGCGCCACACAAATCTCATTCGATATGTGTGAGGGCTGTGGTACTGCTCGGGTGCCCAAACCGAAGCAGGTGGTTTTCTTAAGGGGCCACTCCCCGAGCCTTTGACCTAAAGGTCTAACCCACAAGGCAGTGGAGCATCGTAGGAAGGTGCAGTTCCATGGTAGCCGGTGACAAAGGAATTGGTTCATACGCCATTTGTTCCCTCAGGATACTGGAGCCAGCCCATGTGCACCATTGGTTTGGAATCCGGTTAAAGCGCCGGACATTCGCTTTTCGTCCTCTCATTTTCGTAAACAACACCCCTGCCACGAGAAGGCAGTGAGTAGGACTTTCCTGGCAGCGGCTATATACGCGTGACCGTGTGAGAGCATTTCGAGAGGGAGGGCGAACCCACCCCACTTTCGGCCGTACCAGGGCAAATAAATAAATAAATAAACTGGAGATATTCAAAATTCCCTATATTCCCACAATTCAAAGTCCAAAATATTTTCTTTTTCTTTTTGATAGTTGATATTGAGATGTTTCACACTTTTGCTAGGTACTGACGGAAGTTAGTCGCTTACAAACTTATCAAAACAAACGTATTTCCCCTGTTTAAAAAAAAACAAGATTGCTTACCAAGTCAATAGTTTGTCTTCTATCATCGCCTGTAAATGGAGGCTGAAAGTGAGAATAATATGAATCAATTTCCACGTAAAAATAATCAAACGAATATACAATTAAGTGAAGAACTTACAGATCCCGAAAGCATATCATACATAAGCGTGCCAAGACTCCACCAATCAACGGCTCTCCCGTGTCCTTGACGTAACAATATTTCGGGAGCCCTATAAAATGAACACAAAATTAATATTAATATCTCAAAAAGACCACTAAACAGACGAGACTGAATAGTGAGTGGTAACGCAATTTAAAGTCCTCACGCTACTAGAGAAAGAAAACGAGAAATAAGTTGTATGCCTTGACAACAAATCTTTGTATTTTCGATTACGTGAACGAGATCGCGAGTAAAAACACTTCCAGAACATAACATTTAAAGTTTATTTGATTAGAAAAATTAAACAAGAGCGATGTACTGAAACAGCTGCTTTACAATGAAGTCGAAGACGGAATTATTTGATTTCAATAAACCCGATTTACTTACAGCAAAGAAAGCATTTACTAGTATCTGTCGTCTTCCCACTACCATACATAAAATTCCCTTATAAACCCCTTTGTAATACTGCAAATTAGACAGAAACGAAAATGAGAAACAATGAACCCTGAATCAATGGTCGGAAAAGTGTGCTTGTCGTGAAGCTTTGAAGTAGGTTAGGCTTGCTAAGAGAAAAGCTGCTTAGTGCTCCTCAAAGCTAAGTGGCTTATCAGCTGAAGCCAGTTCATGAAAACTTGTACAACTAACCAAATAACCAGGGTTACACTTTTCCAGCTTTACTTGTCATAAACAATATTCCGATATATTCCAAAATTACTTAGTACTTACATGTACTCAATAGTCCCGCAGAATGTGTGAGTTAAATTATCACGATCGACTCTTTCTTTAGACAATCCAAAATCCGTTAGTTTAACATGACCTTGATGGTCTAAAAGTACATTTTCGGGTTTCAAATCTCGATAAACAATCCCCATCGAATGAAGATGACCAATGGCAAGAGTTATTTCCGCCAAATAAAAGCTGAGGGAAACAGAAGGGAAAAAACCAGTCCAAGTTATTTCATTGCATCATTTCTAAAGTCATTTACCAACTAAAATGATAAGAAGTGCTGGAAATGTTTCATTTTTTAAATATTTGACCTGAGGTTTAGAATTAAAATTTTTTAGGTGGCTTGTAAAGTGACAAACCTTATTTGCCTGATTTCACGCCCTGAATTAAACGAAACGAGAGTTCATTTAAGCTCACAGTCGTGTGCAAACAATTCGTAAAAGCCAAGATATCTCAGTATTCCCGTCTCACAATAAACTGCAACTTCTAAAAATCGTTCATCAAATCGACTTATTCATCTTACGAGCCAGCATTGAACTTTTCAGCTGCGTGCGTCCACGTACTTACGACAACAGAAAGTAGAACCTTTGATCTCTGGCGAATGCTTAGCCCGTAAAACGCTAGGTCCCAACCTAATGATGCTTGTGTTCAACTTTGGTCGATTCATGATATTTCATATGGGTGTCTTAATGATCTCGATTAACTTTGGGCACAAAGACCTTGATTAGAATTTTCTAACATCAGTGCTTGAAGACACTAACCTCTAGTCTGAGCCATGTTGGTAGATGCAGACTACTTGGTTGGGGTCCGCGTGACTTTCGTAACCAATGGTTGGAGACTCTTGGTGACATGGCTCAGAATCGATCACAATGGCGTCGGTACATACACTCTTTGTCTTCCCTTAAACTAAGAGAATAAAATCACTTCATATCTTTCTTTCTACGAACCAATTCTTTCTTCTTGTACTATATCTCTATATGCAATCTTTCTCTTATATATTACCACCTTTGACATAACCACTGCTATGAATCCGGTGTTCATCTCGTTGTGCTGATGCGGTATGGCAACCTGAACCGATGCACATATGTGCCTGGTCCTACGTTGTAGCTGACTGACTGACTGAACATAACACTAGACTGCTTGCGATCCGGATGTGCTGAATAATAAAACATTTTATTGAAGTCACTGGGAAGTAGAAAGCACTGACCGAAGTTAATTTAATCTTACGCACTTAAATATAAACATACTGTGATTGGTGAAAATAATAACATGTTAAAAACCCTGTTGACGCGAATGAAAACATAGTAGATCAGTAGTCAAAACTCGGGTACCATATTCTCCAAAATACACAAACTCATGAAGCAATAAGAACTAGATATTTCAGATGTTGATAAGTGGATGACGCAGCTTTTAACTAACTAGTTTGAATTTGATGAAGTGTACAAAGGACAATTCTCAATAATTTTATTAGCCGCGTTACTTTGACGAAACTAAGATTTACAGAAATTTGTGTTTTGTAGACACCCAAATGCCGCCTTGAGCACTCTGTAACAACTTTTATCGGGATTTCCTGCTGCAAAATAAACTGAGTTGCTGTTTCATTACGCTTGAGGCCAACACTAAGTCCAATAAACGAATACTACTTATCAAGAGAACTATTTTGATCACTTTTAGAAGCAAAAACTACAAACAACAAAACTTAAGTTAATAAGTAGCGCTTATATACTGAGACGAAATCAATAGGATGTATAAGCAAACTTACCTGGCTTGATCTTCCATAAACACTCCCTCTTTCTCAAGTTGCATGAACAGCTCACCTCCAGCTAGAAATTCCAAGACTAGGTAAAGCTTTCCAGGGGACTGGAAAGCAAAATGCAATTGAACTAGAAATGGATGCTTCACAATAAATATGACATTGAGCACGTACTTTAATCATTTCGAGTATATTTCTCTCGCTTTTAGTGTGTGCAGTATCCTTGGCGTTCGTCACAATCGAAGCTTTCTTTAAAACTTTCATCGCATAGGTTTGACCAGTATCATTTTTGCGTGCAAGGAAAACCTATACATATATATTGTAAAAAAAAATGCCAAAGTTATACTTTTCCATAACCACCTTTCCCAAGAACTTTCAGAAGTTGAAAGTCGTGTGGTCGGACTTTAGGTTGACCAGGATTCACTGTCTCTTCACAAATTTCAACCGTTTTAATGTTTTCATCGAGTCTACAGATTATATAAACCGGGAATCCTTCAAGCTTACTCATCTGGTTTAAGTGGGCCACGTTCAAGAAACTCATCCTATAACACTAGTTTTAAAATCAAACACCTTACCTCTACCCCTCCATTTGTCGAGCAATAATCGTGAGAATTTTCTTCACTGTCGTCATAACTTGGAGCTTCCGGCATATCCAAATGAAACACACCAGTACTAGTCATTTTCTGGCAATCAGCATTACGACCAGACCAGTTGCAAACAGAGCGCTCTAAAAAATAAGACACGTAGTTAAACAAAATCCTATTACTTTGCATTTTAATCTCATGCACACTCAAATCGCTCGAAACGATTGTTTGGAAAATAAAAGGTCACGATCCATTGTTGTTCTCACTACAGATTGATGGGTCAATCCTGTAAATGTCGACAGGAAAATTACATAATTTTTATAATCATAATAACGAAAATGAGTCGTATATCGCTCCAGAGACGCTGCACATATGATTACATTGGTATTCAATACGTTTTTTGTGTATCAGTTATGCATTATATATCCATTATCACGTCAACTACACGTCCCTGTATCATCGTGTAGGGCCAGTGGAATCTCACTGAGCCCTAGCCAAATCATCCGGCAGTTGGATCACTGAATGTCGAGCAGATCATCGCTCCCTACCAAGGTCATGTAGAACCAAGGCGCATAAGTTAATCGTGTACCATGAACTGGCCCATGCGGCAGTGGTTTCACTTTCGCTTGTATCTACTTTAACTAACATATTTCTGTAACGACGTCCCCTGTGTTGTACAGTCTTCAAAGCATCTATGGTACCTTGGTATGTCAATGGGGTAGTCCACGTAAGGTGCTGACCATGAGGTGTGACTTCGATGTTAGCTAGTTTGTCACACCATTCACGTCTAACTCGAGTAGGCCTGCAATCATTTTCGACATAGATCATCTACGTTGGTGATCTACAATCGTGTTAAAAACTTTGTCGTCTCATTACTATTTATTTCCACTTTTTTAGTCACGGTACTGATTACATATTTTAACAATTTGCGTTTATTTTCATCTCACTATTCAATTTTTGAGATTATAGACCTTTCGTATCCTAAGACTGTGGAATATGAACATGTGGAGATATGACTGACAAGCTTATTTTGTAAATAGTTTTTAATATTATTTGTATTTGTTTTGTCAATTTCTCACTGTATGTACATTTATCATTAAATGACTGTACGTGTTGTTTTAGTCAATGACCTTGAACACTTTTTCCGTTGTAATTATAACATAGCGTGACACACATTTTCGGTTGTTCACAAATACACTATTACGCACATACCCATTGTTCTATTCTCGCTCGTTACCAAGTCAATTGCGTTCTAAACTGGATATTATCCTCATTTCAGACTGCAGTGTCATTCCCATTATATCCTACATCAAAGAAACTTATTGGCGTCATATTTACCTCTGTGGAATTATTACGCATTTATAATTGTGGATTTTTGAGACCAAAACTCAACAGAACACGCGACGACTAGCCGATTTAAGTAACGTCCCTAATTTGTTATTGCATTTGTAACATTTAACTTGTAAATATTAATATTACTATTGATTGCTATTAACTTTGTTGATACTTTTGCGTTTATATATTGTTTAGTCCATCACAATTATTTGGTGAGCCCGACGTGATTCGAACACGCAGCCTTCTGACTCCAGATCAGAATCACGTCGGGCTCACCAAATAATTGTGATGGACTAAACAATATATAAACGCAAAAGTATCAACAAAGTTAATAGCAATCAATAGTAATACTAATATTTACAAGTTAAATGTTACAAATGCAATAACAAATTAGGGACGTTACTTAAATCGGCTAGTCGTCGCGTGTTCTGTTGAGTTTTGGTCTCAAAAATCCACAATTATAAATGCGTAATAATTCCACAGAGGTAAATATGACGCCAATAAGTTTCTTTGATGTAGGATATAATGGGAATGACACTGCAGTCTGAAATGAGGATAATATCCAGTTTAGAACGCAATTGACTTGGTAACGAGCGAGAATAGAACAATGGGTATGTGCGTAATAGTGTATTTGTGAACAACCGAAAATGTGTGTCACGCTATGTTATAATTACAACGGAAAAAGTGTTCAAGGTCATTGACTAAAACAACACGTACAGTCATTTAATGATAAATGTACATACAGTGAGAAATTGACAAAACAAATACAAATAATATTAAAAACTATTTACAAAATAAGCTTGTCAGTCATATCTCCACATATGGCGTCGCGTTTATATATTGTTTGGTCCACCACAAACATTTCGTCATACCATTTTATACCAAGCAACCAATAGAACCCCAGATTACTGGGTGAACCCTGTTTCCAACCGGTTGGTAACAGTAATTCTCAACAATAACATTTTTAATTTCAGCGTTATTATTTTTATTCATTACTGTATATTTCTTTACATACAAACATTACCGTCTTATCCGTGTTGTACCACAAATATTCGTTAACGAACTTTCAAATCGGCCCACAGGCTGTCCTTTCAAACTCTGATGAATCCAGTTTTACAGAATTTTATAGCTTTTTTAACATTTGTTTGATATTTCCCATCTTGTGTTACGTCATGGATTTCAATGAAAAATATATATAAATCCAAAGTTTAAGAATGTCATGCAAAACAACTCAACAAAAGTTGATGCAGTGAACTTTTTGAGCTAACTTCAGATATTCATCCCCTAACCTGCTTTGCTTAAGCTGAAACGGGTGATCTTATCCGCAACGCAACCATGTAAACTTAATGTATCGCACAGAGTCATCTGTGCGTTCAAGTAACCACAGATTTTGTCATTTCATAATGTATTTTTAATTAAATAATTAGATTATATAATTAATTTTGCTCTGTTTTCAATTTTTATTTGCCACGTCTGACTGCGTCACACTGTACGTCCGTTGCACGCTGGGATGATATCTCAAGTCATAGTAAGTTAATTCACATAGTTGATTGTTTCCAGATAGACTGTCAGTGCATGATTTTACTGAAGAAAAGTTTGTTGTACTGTAAACTGTGTTTCTTTGAACAACTCCTTGTTGTCTTCAGTATGAAAGCAGTTTATATGTATCCTTCTTTTTTTTCTTAGGTAAGTTCAACTGGCCTATATTTCGTGTTTTGGTTTTATCGGCTTAATTATGTTCATTTAAATACTTTGAGGAACATGTTTTTGCAAGTGAAACAATAACTATGACACTTGCTTAGTTTAGTGTTCTTGGTTGTCGTATAATTCAGTTTAGTTGAAAGAATTATAATATACTTAAGTATAGTGCTTGAAGCCTGTAACGAAACAGACCAGTTTAGTAAGTAGAGTTGCCTGTTTCTAATGTGTATACGGATTCAGATCATTCTGATTAAAAATAGGAAAAAACGTGCCTTTGATGCTGTTGCTGTCATACATTATAAGATAGCGATAAGTATGTTTGGTGTTTATTTCTAAACTGTACATCTATCACTGACCATATTTCATGATCACTGTCATTAAACAATTTCCCCAGCAATAACATCGGTAGCAAGATATCTAATTGTCTGAGCTTTTAGTTGCCCGCAAAACAGCAGTATACAGTCCTAGAAGATGAGTGTTCTGTGTCTCAATTAAATGCATCTGGCTGTGGACAAATGTTAAGAATCTTTTTGACAACTGGGACTTTTCGTTTATCATACACTTACTCTGCTTGTATATTTTCCTGTTAAACTAGACTCAGATGCATGGGAATACTTAAATGGGAGCAAAATAATAAAAGCATTGCAATACGGTACTAAGCTCATGTTATGCTTTGCGCAAGTAATAGTAGCTGACCTTATCTAATATTCATGAACTCAAGGTAAATCACAACTGCATAAATTCTTTGCTAGAAAACATGTAATTTGGTTATTTATCTATTCCACATTTTTGACTAAATTCATCACTATTGTTTTCATGTAGAATGCAAAAGGAGTGAGCCTTCACAGACCCTAGAAACTGTTTCGCCCTTGGAACTATGGCCCTATGGAACTGTTTACGGGAGACCCACCGAACAGCAGATTATAAAAAGGATGCTGGACGTCCATTCTAGTCTCACAACCACTTCCAGTATTTTTTGACTTTTTTACTATTTCGTTTGGAAAAAAATAACAAAAACTGCAGATTAACATTACCAATACAACTTTTAAACGGGAACTTGGTTTAAACCTTTGTTTGATATTCGATTCTTAATGAAATTTCTCGAATAAATTTTTTAATCTAATGCTACTTTGTTTTATCTACTTAATCGTCGCAAGAAACTTGTCATAAGCGAGTCTCTCAGCACCTAGTTCATGTGTTCAAATGGTTGTGGACGGAATGGAAGGAGCTTTCGCTTAACAGGCTTCCGTGTCTAGTAACAGGGGGTCACCAAAACCTCCAGACAGGAACCTAGGTATGTTAACAATAAAAGAGAAATTGGTAAATCATAGTATGATACTATCCTTAATCCTTAAGAACAAATCCACTTGCCTCTTAAAGGACTCCTGGGAAGTCGCTTGGACTAGCTCAGTCGTCAGACAATTTCAGCATTTGACAACTTCCAAAGAGTAAGAGTTGTGTCTCCAATTTATGGGTGTTGCCCCTTAGGTTGGTATTGGGACTAAACTTAAGCAGGTGTTTTAGGGATGTCCAGAAGTGTTAAAGTTATTGTAAGCCATTAGGTCACCTCTAAGACGTCTATACTATGAGTAGAAGTTAAGTAATTGGAGGCGCTCTTCATAAGGTGATTTGGTGCATATCTTCATCATTTTCTTGGGAGACCTACAGACTCGGGTCCTCTCACAACTTATTCTAACCACCATGTGTTGTCACGGCAGCTGATGGATGGATACGCGTTACACATCCTAACCGTACTTGCGTCTTATCTTATAGCTTCTAATTCAAATGCCATATGACAAGCAAGCAATGCCCCTACCCGCACTAATGGAACATTAGTAACTCAAATGCACCTGGTATGGTACCTTGCACTGGTTTACGCACTCGCTTAGCTCTTCAGTGAGAATATTAATACGGTCCTGCTGAAAATCCCATGAACCCCCCTACCTCCATCAAAACAAATAAGTCTGTATTTGCTGCATATATCTATTTTATTATTCAAAAGTAAGATATAACAGTTAGAATTGGAGTAAAATGGCAGTATACAGCAGATACATGTGGTA